AGCATGAGGAGGCGGATAAAGGGGCCCATGGCAGATTAGGGGCCTGGCAGCAGCTATGTGAGGCCCGTAATCTTGCCAGCACCCTATGTCAAAAAATTTAACACACCCAGCAGTGTGTGAAGAGACCTGAAGTGGCACATGGCAGCAGAGTGTGGCGATGGAGACAGCAGCAATGGAGGCCGTACAGGGACCCATGACAGACTCTGGACTTGGCAGCAAGCATGAGGAGGCGACGGTATATAGGGGCCCATGGCAGATTTAGGGGCCTGGCAGCAGCTAATGTGAGGCCCGTAATCTGCCAGCACCCTATGTCAAAAAATTAACACACCACCTTTGGAGCAGTGTGAAGAGACCTGAAAGTGGCACATGGGTCAGCAGAGTGTGGCGATGGAGACAGCAGCAATGGGAGGGACCGTACAGGGACCCATGAGAGACTCTGGACTTGGCAGCAGCATGAGGAGGCGTATATAGGGGCCCATGGCAGATTAGGGGCCTGGCAGCAGCTATGTGGAGGCCCGTAATCTGCCTGCACCCTATGTCCCAAAAAATTAAATTCAACACACCAGCAGTGTGAAGAGACCTGAAAGTGGCACATGGCAGCAGAGTGTGGCGATGGAGACAGCAGCAATGGGAGGCCGTACAGGGACCCATGACAGACTCTGGACTTGGCAGCAGCATGAGGAGGCGGTATATAGGGGCCCATGGCAGATTAGGGGCCTGGCAGCAGCTATGTGAGGCGAGGCCCGTAATCTGCCTGCACCCTATGTCAAAAAATTTAACACACCAGCAGTGTGAAGAGACCTGAAAGTGGCACATGGCAGAGTGTGGCGATGGAGACAGCAGCAATGGGAGGCCGTACAGGGACCCATGAGAGACTCTGGACTTGGCAGCAGCATGAGGAGGCGGTATATAGGGGCCCATGGCAGATTAGGGGCCTGGCAGCAGCTATGTGAGGCCCGTAATCTGCCTGCACCCTATGTCAAAAAATTTAACACACCAGCAGTGTGTGAAGAGACCTGAAAGTGGCACATGGCAGCAGAGTGTGGCGATGGAGACAGCAGCAATGGGAGGCCGTACAGGGACCCATGACAGACTCTGGACTTGGCAGCAGCATGAGGAGGCGGTATATAGGGGCCCATGGCAGATTAGGGGCCTGGCAGCAGCTATGTGAGGCCCGTAATCTGCCTGCACCCTATGTCAAAAAATTTAACACACCAGCAGTGTGAAGAGACCTGAAAGTGGCACATGGCAGCAGAGTGTGGCGATGGAGACAGCAGCAATGGGAGGCCGTACAGGGACCCATGACAGACTCTGGACTTGGCAGCAGCATGAGGAGGCGGTATATAGGGGCCCATGGCAGATTAGGGGCCTGGCAGCAGCTATGTGAGGCCCGTAATCTGCCTGCACCCTATGTCAAAAAATTTAACACACCAGCAGTGTGAAGAGACCTGAAAGTGGCACATGGCAGCAGAGTGTGGCGATGGAGACAGCAGCAATGGGAGGCCGTACAGGGACCCATGACAGACTCTGGACTTGGCAGCAGCATGAGGAGGCGGTATATAGGGGCCCATGGCAGATTAGGGGCCTGGCAGCAGCTATGTGAGGCCCGTAATCTGCCAGCACCCTATGTCAAAAAATTTAACACACCAGCAGTGTGAGGAGACCTGAAAGTGGCACATGGCAGCAGAGTGTGGCGATGGAGACAGCAGCAATGGGAGGCCGTACAGGGACCCATGACAGACTCTGGACTTGGCAGCAGCATGAGGAGGCGGTATATAGGGGGCCCATGGCAGATTAGGGGCCTGGCAGCAGCTATGTGAGGCCCGTAATCTGCCTGCACCCTATGTCAAAAAAATTTTAACACACACAGCAGTGTGAAGAGACCTGAAAGTGGCACATGGCAGCAGAGTGTGGCGATGGAGACAGCAGCAATGGGAGGCCGTACAGGGACCCATGACAGACTCTGGACTTGGCAGCAGCATGAGGAGGCGGTATATAGGGGCCCATGGCAGATTAGGGGGCCTGGCAGCAGCTATGTGAGGCCCGTAATCTGCCTGCACCCTATGTCAAAAAATTTAACACACCAGCAGTGTGAAGAGACCTGAAAGTGGCACATGGCAGCAGAGTGTGGCGATGGAGACAGCAGCAATGGGAGGCCGTACAGGGACCCATGAGAGACTCTGGACTTGGCAGCAGCATGAGGAGGCGGTATATAGGGGCCCATGGCAGATTAGGGGCCTGGCAGCAGCTATGTGAGGCCCCGTAATCTGCCTGCACCCCCTATGTCAAAAAATTTTAACACACCAGCAGTGTGAAGAGACCTGAAAGTGGCACATGGCAGCAGAGTGTGTGGCGATGGAGACAGCAGCAATGGGAGGCCGTACAGGGACCCATGACAGACTCTGGACTTGGCAGCAGCATGAGGAGGAGGCGGTATATAGGGGCCCATGGCAGATTAGGGGCCTGGCAGCAGCTATGTGAGGCCCGTAATCTGCCTGCACCCTATGTCAAAAAATTTAACACACCAGCAGTGTGAAGAGACCTGAAAGTGGCACATGGCAGCAGAGTGTGGCGATGGAGACAGCAGCAATGGGAGGCCGTACAGGGACCCATGACAGACTCTGGACTTGGCAGCAGCATGAGGAGGCGGTATATAGGGGCCCATGGCAGATTAGGGGCCTGGCAGCAGCTATGTGAGGCCCGTAATCTGCCTGCACCCTATGTCAAAAAATTTAACACACCACAGTGTGTGAAGAGACCTGAAAGTGGCACATGGCAGCAGAGTGTGGCGATGGAGACAGCAGCAATGGGAGGCCGTACAGGGACCCATGACAGACTCTGGACTTGGCAGCAGCATGAGGAGGCGGTATATAGGGGCCCATGGCAGATTAGGGGCCTGGCAGCAGCTATGTGAGGCCCGTAATCTGCCTGCACCCTATGTCAAAAAATTTAACACACCAGCAGTGTGAAGAGACCTGAAAGTGGCACATGGCATGCAGCAGAGTGTGGCGATGGAGACAGCAGCAATGGGAGGGCCGTACAGGGACCCATGACAGAGACTCTGGACTTGGCAGCAGAGAGGAGGCGGTATATAGGGGCCCATGGCAGATTAGGGGCCTGGCAGCAGCTATGTGAGGCCCGTAATCTGCCTGCACCCTATGTCAAAAAAATTTAACACACCAGCAGTGTGTGAGAGACCTGAAAGTGGCACATGGCAGCAGAGTGTGGCGATGGAGACAGCAGCAATGGGGCCGTACACAGGGACCCATGACAGACTCTGGACTTGGCAGCAGCATGAGGAGGCGGTATAGGGGCCCATGGCAGATTAGGGGCCTGGCAGGCAGCAGCTATGTGAGGCCCGTAATCTGCCTGCACCCTATGTCAAAAAATTAAACACACCAGCAGTGTGAAGAGACCTGAAAGTGGCACATGGCAGCAGAGTGTGTGGCGATGGAGACAGCAGCAATGGGAGGCCGTACAGGGACCCATGACAGACTCTCTTGGACTTGGCAGCAGCATGAGGAGGCGGTATATAGGGGCCCATGGCAGATTAGGGGCCTGGCAGCAGCTATGTGAGGCCCGTAATCTGCCTGCACCCTATGTCAAAAAATTTAACACACCAGCAGTGTGAAGAGACCTGAAAGTGGCACATGGCAGCAGAGTGTGGCGATGGAGAGACAGCAGCAATGGGAGGCCGTACAGGGACCCATGAGAGACTCTGGACTTGGCAGCAGCATGAGGAGGCGGTATATAGGGGCCCATGGCAGATTAGGGGCCTGGCAGCAGCTATGTGAGGCCCGTAATCTGCCTGCACCCTATGTCAAAAAATTTAACACACCAGCAGTGTGAAGAGACCTGAAAGTGGCACATGGCAGCAGAGTGTGGCGATGGAGACAGCAGCAATGGGAGGCCGTACAGGGACCCATGAGAGACTCTGGACTTGGCAGCAGCATGAGGAGGCGGTATATAGGGGCCCCATGGCAGATTAGGGGCCTGGCAGCAGCTATGTGAGGCCCGTAATCTGCCTGCACCCTATGTCAAAAAATTAAACACACCAGCAGTGTGTGAAGAGACCTGAAAGTGGCACATGGCAGCAGAGTGTGGCGATGGAGACAGCAGCAATGGGAGGCCGTACAGGGACCCATGACAGACTCTGGACTTGGCAGCAGCATGAGGAGGCGGTATATAGGGGCCCATGGCAGATTAGGGGCCTGGCAGCAGCTATGTGAGGCCCGTAATCTGCCTGCACCCTATGTCAAAAAATTTAACACACCAGCAGTGTGTGAAGAGACCTGAAAGTGGCACATGGCAGCAGAGTGTGGCGATGGAGACAGCAGCAATGGGAGGCCGTACAGGGACCCATGACAGACTCTGGACTTGGCAGCAGCATGAGGAGGCGGTATATAGGGGCCCATGGCAGATTAGGGGCCTGGCAGCAGCTATGTGAGGCCCCGTAATCTGCCTGCACCCTATGTCAAAAAATTAAACACACCAGCAGTGTGAAGAGACCTGAAAGTGGCACATGGCAGCAGAGTGTGGCGATGGAGACAGCAGCAATGGGAGGCCGTACAGGGACCCATGACAGACTCTGGACTTGGCAGCAGCATGAGGAGGCGGTATATAGGGGCCCATGGCAGATTAGGGGCCTGGCAGCAGCTATGTGAGGCCCGTAATCTGCCTGCACCCTATGTCAAAAAATTTAACACACCAGCAGTGTGAAGAGACCTGAAAGTGGCACATGGCAGCAGAGTGTGGCGATGGAGACAGCAGCAATGGGAGGCCGTACAGGGACCCATGAGAGACTCTGGACTTGGCAGCAGCATGAGGAGGCGGTATATAGGGGCCCATGGCAGATTAGGGGCCTGGCAGCAGCTATGTGAGGCCCGTAATCTGCCTGCACCCTATGTCAAAAAATTTAACACACCAGCAGTGTGAAGAGACCTGAAAGTGGCACATGGCAGCAGAGTGTGGCGATGGAGACAGCAGCAATGGGAGGCCGTACAGGGACCCATGACAGACTCTGGACTTGGCAGCAGCATGAGGAGGCGGTATATAGGGGCCCATGGCAGATTAGGGGCCTGGCAGCAGCTATGTGAGGCCCGTAATCTGCCTGCACCCTATGTCAAAAAATTTAACACACCAGCAGTGTGTGAAGAGACCTGAAAGTGGCACATGGCAGCAGAGTGTGGCGATGGAGACAGCAGCAATGGGAGGCCGTACAGGGACCCATGAGAGACTCTGGACTTGGCAGCAGCATGAGGAGGCGGTATATAGGGGCCCATGGCAGATTAGGGGCCTGGCAGCAGCTATGTGAGGCCCGTAATCTGCCTGCACCCTATGTCAAAAAATTTAACACACCAGCAGTGTGAAGAGACCTGAAAGTGGCACATGGCAGCAGAGTGTGGCGATGGAGACAGCAGCAATGGGAGGCCGTACAGGGACCATGACAGACTCTGGACTTGGCAGCAGCATGAGGAGGCGGTATATAGGGGCCCATGGCAGATTAGGGGCCTGGCAGCAGCTATGTGAGGCCCGTAATCTGCCTGCACCCTATGTCAAAAAAATTTAACACACCAGCAGTGTGAAGAGACCTGAAAGTGGCACATGGCAGCAGAGTGTGGCGATGGAGACAGCAGCAATGGGAGGCCGTACAGGGACCCATGAGAGACTCTGACTTGGCAGCAGCATGAGGAGGCGGTATATAGGGGCCCATGGCAGATTAGGGGCCTGGCAGCAGCTATGTGAGGCCCGTAATCTGCCTGCACCCTATGTCAAAAAATTTAACACACCAGCAGTGTGAAGAGAGACCTGAAAGTGGCACATGGCAGCAGAGTGTGGCGATGGAGACAGCAGCAATGGGAGGCCGTACAGGGACCCATGACAGACTCTGGACTTGGCAGCAGCATGAGGAGGCGGTATATAGGGGCCCATGGCAGATTAGGGGCCTGGCAGCAGCTATGGGAGGCCCGTAATCTGCCTGCACCCTATGTCAAAAAATTCTAACACACCAGCAGTGTGTGAGGAGACCTGAAAGTGGCACATGGCAGAGAGTGTGGCGATGGAGACAGCAGCAATGGGAGGCCGTACAGGGACCCATGAGAGACTCTGGACCTGGCAGCAGCATGAGGAGGCGGTATATAGGGGCCTATGGCAGATTAGGGGCCTGGCAGCAGCTATGGGAGGCCCGTAATCTGCCAGCACCCTATGTCAAAAAATTAACACACCAGCAGTGTGAGGAGACCTGAAAGTGGCACATGGCAGAGTGTGGCGATGGAGACAGCAGCAATGGGAGGCCGTACAGGGACCCATGAGAGACTCTGGACCTGGCAGCAGCATGAGGAGGCGGTATATAGGGGCCTATGGCAGATTAGGGGCCTGGCAGCAGCTATGGGAGGCCCGTAATCTGCCAGCACCCTATGTAAATTCTACACACCAGCAGTGTGTGAGGAGACCTGAAAGTGGCACATGGCAGAGTGTGGCGATGGAGACAGCAGCAATGGGAGGCCGTACAGGGACCCATGAGAGACTCTGGACCTGGCAGCAGCATGAGGAGGCGGTATATAGGGGCCTATGGCAGATTAGGGGCCTGGCAGCAGCTATGGGGGCCGTAATCTGCCAGCACCCTATGTCAAAAAATTCAACACACCAGCAGTGTGTGAGGAGACCTGAAAGTGGCACATGGCAGAGTGTGGCGATGGAGACAGCAGCAATGGGAGGCCGTACAGGGACCCATGACAGACTCTGGACCTGGCAGCAGCATGAGGAGGCGGTATATAGGGGCCTATGGCAGATTAGGGGCCTGGCAGCAGCTATGGGAGGCCCGTAATCTGCCAGCACCCTATGTCAAAAAATTCAACACACCAGCAGTGTGTGAGGAGACCTGAAAGTGGCACATGGCAGAGTGTGGCGATGGAGACAGCAGCAATGGGAGGCCGTACAGGGACCCATGAGAGACTCTGGACCTGGCAGCAGCATGAGGAGGCGGTATATAGGGGCCTATGGCAGATTAGGGGCCTGGCAGCAGCTATGGGAGGCCCGTAATCTGCCAGCACCCTATGTCAAAAAATTCTACACACACCAGCAGTGTGTGAGGAGACCTGAAAGTGGCACATGGCAGAGTGTGGCGATGGAGACAGCAGCAATGGGAGGCCGTACAGGGACCCATGAGAGACTCTGGACCTGGCAGCAGCAGCATGAGGAGGCGGTATATAGGGGCCCATGGCAGATTAGGGGCCTGGCAGCAGCTATGGGAGGCCCGTAATCTGCCAGCACCCTATGTCAAAAAATTCAACACACCAGCAGTGTGTGAGGAGACCTGAAAGTGGCACATGGCAGAGTGTGGCGATGGAGACAGCAGCAATGGGAGGTCTCCCATTGTCCCAACATGGCCCAAATAGTCCCAACATGGGCCCCCTGGCCACGCTTGACTTTCTGGCCACATAGTCGACATACGGCTACGTTTACTTCCTCGGGCGGCTTGACGAAAAATTGCCACACCGCCGCCGAGTAGGAAACTTTGCCCCCGATACTCCTCACTGGCTGACTGCTGCTTCCTCCGTGCACACCGGCACCACTACTGGCCGTGGTGGTAGGCTGCAGTGGAGCTGGTGCTCTACTCCGTGGCCGTTTGGCTCCACTGACACTGCTTCCACTGACACTGCTGCGACCCTGCTGCTGTCTCCTGGGCAACCCACCGACTGTTTCGCTCACTGCCAAGCTGCCACCCTCTTCTCCTGATGATGCGGAAGAAATTGCCTGATGACGACGAGGCTGCCAAGTGCGATCAACCTCCTCATCATCAAGTAGGGTCTCCGCCTCACTACTAGCCCCCTCGGCTGCGTCTGGGTCAGGAGACAGACCTGTCTCTAGACCGGCTACCGGGCCACTCTCCTCGCCACTACTACTCTTCGCCTAGCTGCTGAAAAGGCGGATGTCTCCCCCCCGTTCCTGACCGCCCTCTGTTAGCTCTTCCTCACTGTACAGTGGGGCTGAGCCCACAGCATGCGATACTTCGCTTGGTGAGAACACACCAAAGGACAGGGGCAGGTAGAGGACACGTGATTTCAGTGGGCTTGGTCCCGGGCCATGCCAACTAACGGTTGTGTCTGACGTACCCACCGACCGTTGGCTGTAGGTGTCAGAGGTGACCTGGGAAGAGGAAGACGACCGAGCCAACCAATCGATGACGGCAGGGTTGTCGGTGGAGACACGACCGCTGGATGACACCGGGAGCACTGGCCTCTGGCTGCGAATAGTGCTGCCTCGACCCCTTCCTCTGCTGCCACGTCTGCTCGCTCCTAAAACATTGCCTCCTCTGCCACTCCTCTGCATGTTGTCTGACATACTCTTTAATTAAACGATTATGTGTCCCTGAGTAACAATTCTGTCCCCTGAGTAACAATTCTGTGTCTGTGCGAGTAACAATTCTGTGGCCCTAAGTAACAGTTCTGTGGCCCTCAGTAACAATTCTGTGTCCCTGATTAACGTTTCTGTGGCCCCAAGTAACAGTTCTGTGGCCCTCAGTAACAATTCTGTGTCTGTGCGAGTAACAATTCTGTGTCTGTGCGAGTAACAATTCTGTGGCCCTAAGTAACAGTTCTGTGGCCCTCAGTAAACAGTTCTGTGGCCCTGAGTAACAATTCTGTGTCTGTGCGAGTAACAATTCTGTGTCTGTGCTCAGTAACAATTCTGTCTGTCCTAAGTAACAATTCTGTGGCCCTCAGTAACAGTTTCTGTGTCCCTGAGTAACAATTCTGTGTCTGTGCGAGTAACAATTCTGTGTCTGTGCGAGAGTAACAATTCTGTCTGTGCGAGTAACAATTCTGTCTGGCCCTAACAGTAAAGTAAATTCTCTGTGGCCCTCAGTAACAGTTCTGTGTCCCTGTGTAACAATTCTGTGTCTGTGCGAGTAACAATTCTGTGGCCCCTAAGTAACAGTTCTGTGGCCCTCAGTAACAATTCTGTGTCCCCTGATTAACGTTTCTGTGGCCCCAAGTAACAGTTCTGTGGCCCTCAGTAACAATTCTGTGTCTGTGCGAGTAACAATTCTGTGTCTGTGCGAGTAACAATTCTGTGTCTGTGCGAGTAACAATTCTGTGGCCCTAAGTAACGGTTCTGTGGCCCTCAGTAACAGTTTCTGTGTCCCTGTGTAACAATTCTGTGTCCCTGTGCTGTGAGTAACAATTCTGTGGCCCTAAGTAACAGTTCTGTGTCCCTCAGTAACAATTCTGTGTCTGTGCGAGTAACAATTCTGTGGCCCTAAGTAACAGTTCTCTGTGGCCCTCAGTAACAATTCTGTGTCTGTCCCTGAGTAACAATTCTGTGGCCCTAACTAAAGTTTCTGTGGCCCTAAGTAACAATTCTCTGGCACTCAGTAAACAATTCTGTCTGTCCCTGAGTAACAATTCTGTGGCCCTAATAACGTTTCTGTGGCCCTAAGTAACAATTATCTGGCACTCAGTAACAATTCTGTCTGTCCCTGAGTAACAATTCTCTGGCACTCAGTAACAATTCTGTCTGTCCCTGAGTAAAAATTCTGTGGCCCTAAGTAAAGTTTCTGTGGCCGTGAGTAACAATTCTCTGGCACTCCGTAACAATTCTGTCTGTCCCTGAGTAACAATTCTCTGGCACTCAGTAACAATTCTGTCTGTCCCTGAGTAAAAATTCTGTGGCCCTAAGTAAAGTTTCTGTGGCCCTGAGTAACAATTCTCTGGCACTCCGTAACAATTCTGTCTGTCCCTGAGTAACAATTCTCTGGCACTCAGTAACAATTCTGTCTGTCCCTGAGTAAAAATTCTGTGGCCCTAATAAAGTTTCTGTGTGGCCCTAAGTAACAATTCTCTGGCACTCAGTAACAATTCTGTCTGTCCCTGAGTAACAATTCTCTGGCACTCCGTAACAATTCTGTCTGTCCCTGAGTAACAATTCTCTGGCACACTCAGTAACAATTCTGTCTGTCCCTGAGTAAAAATTCTGTGGCCCTAAGTAAAGTTTCTGTGGCCCTGAGTAACAATTCTCTGGCACTCCGTAACAATTCTGTCTGTCCCTGAGTATGAATTCTGTGGCCCCTAACTAGCGTTTCTTTGTCCCTAAGTAACAGTTCTGTGGCCCTGAGTAACAATTCTGTGTCTGTGCGAGTAACAATTCTGTGGCCCTAAGTAACAGTTCTGTGGCCCTCAGTAACAGTTCTGTGTCTGTGCGAGTAACAATTCTGTGTGTCTGTGCGAGTAACAATTCTGTGGCCCTAAGTAAAGTTTCTGTGGCCCTCAGTAACAATTCTGTGTCTGTGCGAGTAACAATTCTGTGTCTGTGCGAGTAACAATTCTGTGGCCCTAAGTAAAGTTTCTGTGGCCCTAAGTAACAATTCTCTGGCACTCAGTAACAATTCTGTCTGTCCCTGAGTAACAATTCTCTGGCACTCAGTAACAATTCTGTCTGTCCCTGAGTAAAAATTC